TATTTCATTTGCAAAGACTAATATTTTATTTATTTGAATATGTATGCATATAATTAGGCCAGGGAAGGAATACATCAGTGATTGAGGTTAATAAAATTCTAATATTTACCTGATGAAATAATCTTTTCTAAATCTAGTCACTGGCTTCTTATTAGACATTTTAAGTGTCAACAAACTCATTGATTCATGACACATTCTAATGTTTAGGGTGTGTCTTTCTTTTTTTTTTTATTAAGCTGAAGAATGCCTCTGTTAAGATAATTCTGTACTGGTATCTTCAAGTAAATAAACAACAGATTGACAACTAGGTAAATTAGAATAGGATGCAGATGTTGTTGGTAAATAAATATATTCTTTCTTCCATCTAACAGTTACTCAAACACACACAACTTGGGCTAAAGTCCCGACTCTGTCTCTCCAGGCCCTTCAGTGCTTTTCAGGAAATGTATCTTAGTGTTGAGTGTTCCACTCTCTGTGTGAGACAGAGACTCGGGCTATACCAGGTGTGATCTGAGCTGTGTAAAACAGGAATTACTGTTTCTTCATTTTGGACATAAACTTCCAGTAACGCAGCCTAGGATGGATTAAGTTTTGGCAGGCACATCCCCGTGTTGACTCATGCTACACTTATCCTCAACTAAAACCATCAGGCAAATTTTTCATATATTTGGTATTAAGTCAAACCTTCCACATCCTGTGTTTGTACAGCTCATTTCTGGGCCCAAGTGTAAGACTTTACATTGATTCCTATTAACCGCTTTATGTTTGATTCTCTCCGTTGTTCCAGATGCCTCTGTCATCGTATATACTCTCAACCTCTTCAATGCCTGGCCTTCATGGCTGATCAGCAGGCCACCGTCACTAACGTCAGTACTCAGCAGGACCGCATTAAAACAGATGTACTATTCTTGCACGCTTATGTGGATGGAATGTTCATTGGCAATATTCAGGCACAAGTTCTCACACAACTAATAATCCTTCTAGGGCCATGTCATATGGCAAAATGAATATTTCTCTGCATATTCACAGGAGACTATGAGATGATTAAATTTCTGATATCCAGAAAGATTCCCTAACTGTTTGTGAATTCTTAAGGTTAGAAAGGGCCTCAGCAGATACTTAGATTGGATAACTTATTCTTGCAGAGGAAAGAAATCTTGCACACTGTAGTATATTCAGGGATTTCTACTCAGCAAAAACTCCTTCTCTCCCCTCCTTTTGCAGTAATGACAGTCATAAATGTCCCCACACATACCAAACTTTTTTTGTGTGGGCAAAATGGCTTCTTCCCACTGAGAATTAGCATTCAAGACTTTGTATTTCTATGAGCTAATCCACCTTTTATATAGTTTAATTAACCTTTTCAGGGTATATCTATAGGTAAAGTGTTCACATACAGCACTGACCACTCTTATATCTGGAATTAGATAGCAGCTAATTTATAAAAAAAAAAAGGTATGAATAATAAGAAAATAATGAAACAAATAAACGGAAGGGAATCATATAATCCTGAAGTTTAGAACAAAGGATAACTTAATTCTAGATGAATTAATATTAAGATAGAATAAAGACATTGGAGCTTCCACAAGAATGGTGTGACTTAAGAGGTAACCTATATGGGCTTTGTACCTAAATGCTTATCAAAGTACCATCTTGGACAGTCAAAAATGTGTAGGGAGAAAAACTGTCTGACAATGGAAGACAAATAATTTATGCATGCTAATCACACAGAATACTCAGTAGTAATCAAAATGACATGTCTTAAAACACGAATGGCATGGGGAAGCATTTAGAATATCATCATGTGAGAATATAACTGTTATCTCTGCAGAATGGGTATCAAGTTTCCAAAGGGTAAGTAGATATAGAAAACATATTGCAAAACTATGAATAATGACTATATGTTCTTCCTGAGTTTATCTTCTTTTTCCACCCCTGTGCTATGGGACATTAGATCTAAAGCAGTGGTTCTAAACCTGTGGGTCATGAGCCCCTTACAGATCCACCAACTCTTTCCCAGGGATCACCTAAGACCGCCATAAAACACAGATGTTTACAGTATGATTCATAACAGCAGCGACATTCCAGTTCTGAGGTAACAATGAAACAATTTCATGGCTGGGAGTCACCACAACATGAGGAGCTGTATTAAAGGGTTGCAGCTTTAGGATGGTTGAGAACCGCTGCTCCAGAGACCATGATCCATCCTGGGCTAGGTGCTCTGAGGAGGACTCTTCATGTGTCCTTGGAAGAGCACCTCAGCTGGGTAGGATGCTTCAGAGACGACGCATGAAGAAAGTGGATGGTATCTGTAGACTGGGTCACTCAGCCTTTATAGAGAAAATTTCTGTGTATAATTTTTTCATAAAAGAAGAAAGCCTGGTGTTCCAGCTGCATCCTATTCCTCCAAGCCAGTGGTTTTTGTTTGTTTGTTTGTTTGTTTGTTTTGTTTTCATTGAGAAAGCCGAAGAGCCACCTTAGATTTATCTATTAAATAAACGATTCTTGGACTACAAATCCCAAGATTTGGACTCTTCAGTTTGGGGTGGGGCTCAGGGATCTTCATTTCTCTTTTAGTGATTCAGTTGCACAGAGACGACCCACAGGCAATATTTTATGGTTTGGTTTAATTTCTTTCTTTCTTTTTTTTTTTTTCTGTCTGCATTTTTGGTAATACCTTCTTGGTGGTACGGTGAAGGAAGCTGATTTCGACTTTCCTTGGTATGTTTGTAAACTAGCTTCTCAAAAATAAATCCATTTTAAAAGTATATTCTAGCAGTGGTATACCCATTTCAAAGAGCCTATAGTCAGACTAGCCCATAAGATTCTTGAAAGTTTAAAATTTGGTTCTGATGAACTTCAATCCCCAATGCTATACAGTATGTACTTTATTTAAGGGCTTTAAATACTTTGAAAATGGTTAATAAAAAAAAACCTTTATACCCATGAGAACTAAGAATTAGTGAACAATAGGGTAGCTTGACTCATTTCAAGGAAACAAATTTTGATTACATCAAGCAGAAGGGACAATAGCATCCATCAATATTTTCTATTTTTATTTTTCCGCCATGGCAGCTCTCCATAAAGAGCAGCAGTCTTGCTGAGATGCTCGAGGGTTGTAAATTGGTTTCCTATGGATGATGGACAGACAAGGAACAACACCTCCTGTTCAGCCTCCACCTCCACCTCAATGGTCCTCAATCTCTGAGTGTTGAAATGACTTGGTCATTATTCTATAGCTCCCAACCCTAAAGTCAGCTCCTTCAACCTCTTCCTCAGCACCTGATTGAGACAGCATCGTCTGTAGAAAACCCATATGAGTCTGTTTTATGTGTTCGTGTGTGGGAGGTGGCTCAAGTGCAGGCTAATAGTACAGTTCTTTCAATATTTTCACCAGACATATTTTAAGAATATTGGGCCTGAATTCTATATAGTCAGCTGAGGCAAATTTACAGCTTTGCTTTCAAGAACAAAACTCCCTCAGGCACTGGCTTCCTAAAGGCAAAACCAGCAAGGAAATGAACTCTTGCTTAAAGACGGCCCACCTTATTTTATGAGTTATCAATTTTCTAGCTGGCACGCAGTCCATTCGCTACTGGGAGATTTTTTTCTTTTACCCCATCTCAAGCAAGCACTGAACTGCAAAAAATGTCCAGTCTGCATTCTAGCAAACAGCTCAGATTCCCAAAGATGAGGCATGGGACACAGTCTCAATAAATGAAGTCAGGGGAGCAGCAAAGATCTATGGAGCAGGCTCATAGTGCAGATGTCTCTGCTGGTGCATGCATTAGCCTGTGCCTGAATTGCATTCCCGTTACAGGACTACTGCATCGTGGGCTGTGATGGGGAGTCCCTTTCTTGTCTTTAGGGTAGCTCTGTCAGGTGAATAGCCAACAACAATGTAGAACACTTGATTTCTCTTTAACTGCTTTGGTGACCCTGGAACCAGAGCTTATCAACTTCTTGAAAATGAGAAAGGACTAAATAGCTTCTTCCCCCTTGTTGGTAAAGTCAGCCTTCTCGATGGGAATTGACTGCAAAATGGGGTGAAAGGTTAACAGGGGATACTCTAGACTGCTGTGTGACAGAAAACACAATGAATAGATGTATTTTCCTTTGTACATATACTACAGTGATAAAATATAAAAATGGACTCTGAAAAAAAACCCACAAGGATAAATTTAACTAATAAGTAACTGAAAAAACTGGATACATTTGCCTTCCCTGGAGAAATCACAAACAAATAGGTAAGATTAGATCCAGCCCGGCCTTATCTTCATTTTTTTCCAACCTTTATTTTGCGAGGAAGGTAAAGAATTTTCAAGAGACATATGAATTTTCAATTGCATGTTTTAAAATCAGACATTTACACATCTACTTGGGAGAAGTGCCAGAAGATGTGTGAAGGACCTCTTGTGCAAATAGAACACAACACTCCTCAAATTCAGCCCTCACCAACTGCCATTACTGCAGTATATGAAATCGAGCCCTCTTGCAGATGGGCAGCACACTTTTCAGCCTGCTGGTAGCCTAATCAAAGACAGCATCTTTTGAAAAATGGAGGACAGGAGGACATGTACTTCTCAGATGACATGAGCCAATGTAGTTAGCAGAATATGATTAAGAAAGGCATATAGCAGGCTGTCAAAAATGAGGAACAGACTAGGGGAACCTGAGAGTTCTAAACACCAATATCAGAATGACCTTTGGAGTAGAAGTAAAAAAAAAAAAAAAAAAAACATCATTCTTTAAGCCATGGGAAAATACACAGTGATGGAGTCAGGACTGAGAGTAGCATAGTATGAGACTATTGGTAATGATAAAATGAAAACACAACTATGATTTCTTCTTATGAATATGATAAAGAGTTCCTGGGAAGGTGGGCCACTTGGTCTCTGCTATGTTTCTTAAAGCAAAACCTCTCCCTGAAGGTTGTTGGAAGTTACTGACTTAAACATAGATCCATAGTCCACACAGGGAGGCTCTGTGTTTCTGCTCACCTTTCTCTTTCTTCTTTCATTTTTTCCACCTCTTCTTCTCCTAGGTTTCTGGGCTTCTGGGTACCTTTCTGCTCAGCCTTCCCGCTTTTGTCATCTTTCTTCTTTCCAAATCTGGAGGGGAAGGACAAAGTTCATAACTCATACTTTTTCTTTGGCAAATGTAAAATATGTATGACATGAGTTCAATCTACTATAATTCTTTATTCTAAGTAACACAAGAACACTGGCATAAAACAGAAATAAAATAAGATTATGAAAGCAGGAAAATAACAGTTGCTGAATCTTTTTCTCTTTCTTTCTTTCTTTCTTTCTTTCTTTCTTTCTTTCTTTCTTTCT